ACTCAATTTACCCAAGACCTGGAAAGTAATGAGAAAGTTAATTTTAACTTAAATTTGAATACTTTTTAATCTTTCCATTTCTTAAAAATGATTTAAAAGTACAGAAATTTATTATTCAGTACATTCTTTTCACGAATATGCATTCTATGTGTATCCTTAAGAAGTGTTTTATACTCCTATAACATAAATATTATCAAGAGTTTTAGTATAAAAAGTATTATTAGTTTTAAAATGTAATGGTAACCTAAATTTATATAGATACAAAAATTTATAATGAATTTCTAAGTGGAACACTTTTTTGATGTGGAACACTTGATAGTGCTTGACTATCATTCCATCTGATATGCGGAAATTAAAGACATGGTGATCGTATTATCTCAGTAACAACCTTTTTAAATTTTGCATGAAGAAATCCAAATTATAACTCAAATGAAATACAAACACAGGTGAGCAATTACAAACCTATTCTGTCCTAGAAAGGAGAAAGCGTATAGCTTCGTTCGAAGTAATACTATGACGTTATACAACGAAAGGATGGGGATCCACCGTGCGTCTAGTTGTCCTATAATGCATGAATTAAGCGTGCAATTCCTGAGCATACTCTCCAAAGTATAACTTATTGAATACCAGGAGGCTGGTTACTTTTAGGCTTAATATATTATATTTAACCAAATAGTGGTCATCCACTAGGCTTTGTCACGTCTCTTAATGGTAGGCCTAAATGACTATGGAATCTAAACCAGTGAGGCGACAGTTGTGAGCGCCTGCTCAGATGTGTGTGCATTATTCCAAACATGAAATGTTCTTTCTATAAGCAAAGAAGCTGTCCTGGAATACGGTCGATTGTTTGCAAGAACGCCGAGTTTGATGGCTGAATTCATAATTCTCCACGACTATGTTGTCTTCTGCGTAACCAAAAACACCCGACAAAAACAGTTTAATGTGAAACAAAAATAGAGTTTAGGAGAGAACATACTCCTAAGAAACCTCGGCGTTAACCGTCAATTGCTCAGCCGAGGAGCCATTTAAAAGTACTTGTGTGTTACGGCCCCTCAAAAAGAGCAAAATCGATTCGCATTTGATTATATTTTAGTAATGTCATCTAGTACCTATCGAATTTATGAATTAAATTCGTAAACAATATATTTTATATATTTTTACTGTTAAAAACAATTTTGACGTGTTAGTTTTTTGAAATGAAATTAAAATATAATAAAAAGAAAACACAAAAGTTTAATTTAAATTTTTTACCCAAGTCATTTAATATACATATTTGACTTTGGACTAGAAAAAAATTTTATGTCATTGAAATTAAGCGGAACGTCAATAAGGCTGACAAATAAGTTTATATAAACTTTGTTCTACGTAATTGGCCAGAGCCCTTTTAGCTCGTATCTTCAAATTCAGGTTGGAATATATATTTACGTATTCTGTTAACCACATCATTAAGATATTTCTATTCGAAAGCAAATGTACGAAACCATTGTTTTTCCGGGGAGGAGTATGAATTTGTACTAACATTATAATAATATTATAGAACTCTCATAGGCTGGTTAAAAAAATTAAGTTTTTTATAAACAAATAAAATACTTAAGATTAGCTTCTAAAATATATTGCAGGTTTTTGTATTTTCTTTGACATTTGTAGTATATTTAGTAAAGCATTTTGTTATGTTCTTTTTGATATAATACATACATCGTGTATTTGTTTAAAGTCAAAGTCTTCGTTATTTTAAAATCGACATTATGTGTTTTAGTTGCTGCTGCATGCTGAGTTTTAGACCAGTTACTAAATAATAAGATCTAAGACTTTCATAAGTATTCATTTAATTGAAACTAATATTATTCGGATTACTACGCGCATTTTATTAGACGATATCACTTCAGCCTGTTCACGGTTGCTGAAAAGTAACCGAAACGTCGCGTCGTCGGGAGTATGTATGTATTTTTAAAATAATAAAATAAACTTAGTTATTAGAATAATATTAGTTTCAGTTACTAAATAGTTTGAGAACAGTGCCTAAGATTTTTCGGTCATATGTAGTTGTATCCAAAATAGATGATACATTTTATTGTAAACAAAACTATACATATTCGTACATGATCTTTCAGTCACGTATTTTATTTTTAAATTCTAAGATTCTATCTGAATTCTCGATTAATAAGACATATACTCGTATAGTTTTCTATATTTTGATCAAAAACAATTTTCTAGTTAAATATATTTGTAATGATAAATTCTTTGTTACTTATACAAAAGGGGAAATATTTATATATAATCTTTTTTATTATAATGAAATTTTGTTGATTTCAAAAGGTTGAAATGACCCCTTAATATGTTAATATCAACAAAGTTAAAATTTAGTTTTAGTAACTGAGAGTTGTAGTCACACCAACTGGTGATTGTATTGTGAACTAACTAAAACGACTCGGCTGACTGATGTAAGCAAATATTTGTTAATAGATAGGTACGTTTTTTTATTCCATTCGACAAATTTGTTACGTACACACTACCTATAAAAAAATTAATATCACCTTGCAACATCATTGCATGGATAAAATATCATATAACGAGTAGGCCGTTGTGTGAACACCAAACCGTTTGAACCAGAAGATTCCTGATACCACACAAGCAATGGAATGGTATTGCTATCCTAACATCGGGCAATCATGTAGTCTTAGGTATGGGTTATAAGTTTTAATATGTAATTCATATTGTAATATACATATAAGTAAGTTTCATAGTTCGGGGAACCTCTGGTTGCCACAATACATAATTAACTCATTCGTGTTTCCTCAGCAATACTCAAGATTATTATTCGTCAAACAAATACAAAAAGTCGACATTGGCAAAATATCACACAATTCCAGTGGAAATAAAATCCATGTAAAAATATGCGTTCTTAAAGTATTGTTATTTAGTAACTTAACAAAAGCATGAAAATTAATTTAAATACATGTTCTTATCAACGTGTGAAATATATCCTTCCAATAGTATCCTTTGAGCTTTACAACGAAAATTGGAAATTTTGTTGAAGCCGAACGAGTCTTTATTGTTATCAGTTAATTTACTTCGCAATTTTTAATTGAAAATAATAAATACTATTATCTTTTTATAATCTATCATACATATAATACCTGAGAGATATTAACTGAATAGTTATAGTTATAAGTAATAACAGTTTTCTATCCAGTAATTGTTTCTATTTGTACATGTGTTTTAATATTTTGTACACGGTAGGTGATAATTGTTAAATATGTTTCTTTATTATTTATATGTGCAAAGTTTTTAATATTTATTAAAAGTCGTAAAATACGACTTAGTGCTGGGTAAATTGTACTATTTAATCACGTTATGCTTTCGTACAAGCTTTGGAACCTACATAATTGTATATCAAAATGATGATTTTAGCTTTTTTGATGATAAAAAATATATTTAAGAAGTTTCTTAAACAAAATATAATTACCTGATGCAATAATCCCATTCTTTAAATGTAAAAAATAAACTTGCATCTCTAACAGTTTCTACAATTATCAAAAAGATTAGCATTTTTTTCTGTATTTAACTTTGTCCTCTTCACACAAAGCTTTAGTTATTTTTAGGAATTATTTTTTTAAACAACAATAAGCTTTACATCTATTTTCACACGGAAAAAAACTTACACTCTCCTTATTAACAGTACTTTCTATTTTAATTTTATATGTATTGCAAATAATTTTAAAATAACTAATTAACGTTCAGTATACAATTAAAATTAACGATACTTTACATTTAAGAGAGCGAATCCGTTTTCACGAGTTCAAGTTTTGAACACCAAGCGGCAGCACTTGTACTATTAACGTTTTACCTTTAGGAAATAAACAAACACACTAATATTCATTTACTCATCAATATAATCTAAATTTCCATTAAAAATGAACGTATTATTCAACTTGTTCAAAAGTTTTACTTGTATTATATACGAGTAAATTATATTCAACTATGTATACAAAACCGATACCGCGAATCAGAAGTTGCCTTTTGTGTACCGCGCCATCTAGCGATGTTTAGCGATATTAAGACAAATACGAATTACTAATATATGTAATGTATAATTACAGTAAACCTAAAGCTATTTTAATGAAAATTTATTAAAAATTGATAATTTAAATATTGTTTACCTATTTCTTGATTTAAAACGTCAGTTTATTATACATACAATGTAGTAAATTGAAGTCTTTAAATCTGTTTTTGAGTTTTGAACACAGTGATATGTTATTATTTTGTTGCTATAAAAAATATCTATATTATAATAAATTGTATTATTCAAACTCTACTGTATTTTTTATTTCAGTACAATATTTTATTCCCATTTACCATTTAAGAAAGATATTTTTATCTTTTATTCCAGGTATATCAGAAGGGTAAAGAAAACTCTCAATTTTTCATTGTTCTTCCAAAATATAATTAAATTATCCGGTAATTTTGTTGGGAGCGGCTTCCTATCTTAATTGAGTTTACTTTGCAATCAAATTTCCACTACCGATGGTATTATGTTTCTAATTAGCTGGATTTTAACCTTATTTTGAACTAAGCAACGATACTCATTAAGATTACAGTATTTAAGAAAATTAACCGTCTGTGTTATATGTAAAAATCTTTTGATAATGATTTTAGAGCTTATTTTACTAAAATAATAACCTTCATTTGTTTTATGTAATTATTAAAGTTGATAAATCAATTTTAACAGCAGTTTAACCAAATGATAAACATCTTATAACTTATAACATGATATATTCTATACCATACATTACGGGTTGCATTACGAAAATATATATTTAGAATTAGATAATGAAAATATGGCATGACTTTAAATTAACGAATGATTAAATAAAGTACAAGAAGATGATGTATTTTGTTGTAATGCAACATATAGTGTATAAAACAAAAAAAATATTTTCAACATTATAGAATTGCATGGCATTAAAATTTTATGCAGAAATATTTTCTACTTGTTCCAGCCTCTGTGGCCAGAATAGCCAAGTTTCTCGGGAACACTGGCACACCAATCGTAACGACTGGCGGATTTACATTCGATTTTGTGAAGCCAAAGCAGACTTGCCAAGACGAGTTCTACATGATGGTGCGGGCTGGGCCGTTGGGTTTCAAGGACTTGGCTTACTTCCTCATTGATATCATGAGACAGTGAGTATATGTGGATTATTTAAATTCTGCTTTTGAGCACTGGCACGGCAATCACGGTTTAAAAAAATCACGGTTAAGAATTTTGTCAATCAGTTTTAACTATAGATGTCGCTTCACGGTTCATAGACATTTTATGTAAAATTTTAATAACACAATCAATCAATACAAGATTTGGATTAAAATAAGATATTTATATCTTTTAGTAATAAATGTAACTGTACTTACATTAATTATGTTGTATTCTGTTGTGACGGATGGCTAAATGATTGGCAATCAAAATATTTACGATAAATAATGCATTTTAGATTATAATATATGCGTCAATAAAAATGAATGATGACTATATAATATTTGTATTTTAACGAGAATAAATTGTTTATTGCAAATACGAGTTAGTTTTTCAAATTATTTCTTTTATTAGTTATACAAAATTAATTAATTAACTTTGTATTGAAGAATCGAAGAGTTTGATTAATTTAAATTCACTATCTACAAATATTTCCAACACTGATTGTTATTTATAGCATCTATTAATATACACATTATGCAGATTATTATTTTTATATTTGTGTTAGTTATTATGTTGTTTGCTAAATAAAAATACTGAGAGATTTAAAAATAAAACTTATAAATTATAAATTTATATTTTATTCTCAATAAATGTCAAGTAAACGTACTGACAAAACTCAATAGTAATATTTTAAGTATAAATGAATATGTTGTAATATTACACTAAATTATCGTAATATATTACATTGATAAACATTTTTGAGACTCAACTGAATTTCTTCGGGTTTACTCTTTCAATGTATTATAGTTTAACTATTTTTTGATTCTTAAATAAAATTGATGTCATTCATGTAATTTATTTAATTCATTTATGTATATATAGTTTACGTAAAAGATTTAAGTATTAATGCTCACAATCCATTAGTCTGTTTGTAAAAATATATTACTTTGTAAGTGTTACTGTAATTTAATATCTATAAGACTAAAATGAAATTACATGTATTAAAAAACCTTTGGTGTGTTCTCACCACATTAAAACATTGTTTAATTATTAATATGTAATAAATGATATAAATATACAATTTTATTAGTGTAGTGAGTTTTTTTGCACAGTTTTTTGCACGTTGTGGCTTTGCACTAACGCAGTTAATTTTTACGCCATCTAGTTACGCTTGGCGGCAACTGGTACTTATAAACGAACCTGACGCACAAATGGACGTCGCTGGCAAATCAACTTGCCACCTCATGATGAAGACGTTCGCCAATTTTCTCAAGATAGAAGACATAATTTACATTCCCTGGGACACCACGTCAGATGGCGGCCTAAATTATACCGAAAATTTGAAGCTATACGTTGGATTTAAATATTCAAGTAAGTCTTAAAATCAAGTAAGTTTTAGTTTGATGTTCAATACGGTTAAGAATAAGGTAAGTGGTGGTTGATTATTATTATCTTATTAATATTAAATTATTATATAACTAATACTATTATTTAAATTGGCAAATACCTAACAATTCATAACAATAACATTATTAACTTTCATCTGTATGTTTGATCTTTTCGCCACAAGATGTCGCTCTTAGTTTGTAGCTGTGACGATAGATGTCTCTGTTTCGTTACTTACTAAATATTAAAAAAGATGGCTCGAGTCGTTCTTAGATTCATCCCTACTATTTAGCACTAGATGTAGCTAAGCAGAATTTCGTTTCAACAGATATGATTGGGGTCGAACAATACTGTTATACGATACCCATAGTTATACACCTCTAGTAGGTTGGAGGGGTGGTTTCCTTCTGGCAAGTACGATCCATGATTACATGATACTTGAAGGAATTGATGTTTTCGGTCGGGAAATCCAGCCTCAGCAGACTTACGAGGACCTATTACTCCAAAATGTTGGGAGTAATTACGCCAGTGAGTCCGTTTGGGGATAATTTTATTGAGGCTTTAATGGGATTCAGGATTAAATTTAGGATTTTAGCACAGCACCTTTTGATGTTTTTTCACTTGGTTTGATGCACCAGCTTTATTTAACGAACGAATTAACGAATGGTTAAAATCTAAATAATCGAATCCAAGTCGAAATGTGTTTAAACTTATAAATTGATTCAAATTACTATTCGTCGAGCCGTTTAACTTGGACAAACCAAATAAACCTAGTCGCTTCTGTATTCATTTAAAGTACATTAATTATGGACCGATTTCTGATCGCAGTATCATCAAGTTTTTATCTAATATTTGTCTTTTACAGAAAAAACTTGTTCCATGTAAGAGTAAACGATGAGCGATATGAATTAATTTTAAAATATGTCATTCATTAATTTAACGATATTCACAAATAAAAATCTTATCTCCCACAAACGAGCCTAAACGTTTAAAATTTGACAACAATTTAAATTCTTTACTAAAATTTACATAAAATTAGTGTAAATGACTTAATAATTAATGTTTTAAATTATTTTTATTAAAAATTATGTGTTGTGAACATTGCATATTTCAATGTTCGTTTTATCTTATTAAGTTAATGACAATGTATACGTTTTTTCTATAAAAATAAATTGGCTCGAATCATTTTGTGGACAACAAAGTATAATAATTTCAAAAAAACAAAACAAAACAGTTGAGGAATAATTTGTTATTTTTCTTTGATATTAACAAATAGTTTGCTTTATACTATGAACGATTTAAAAAAGAAGAATCTCCCCTCTTTTAGTAATGCTCCTTTTTTGTCAGTTATTTTTATATGTTTTGTTTTGGTTCAGATCAATATAATGACAACTTTTGTATTTATCTATGAGAATCAAATTAGGTGCTTATAACTATTTCTTAAACTTTTGCTGTGATTTATTACGCACATAGATATCTTAATATATTTCTGAAATCTCGTAGTATGACCACGTATCGTGAAATCCCATTGGGTTGTGAATTATTCTAGGAAGCCGTCGTTCTTGTTAAGGTTTGAGATTTATCAAAACTTATATGATACTGTCTCATATATTTTTAGTCCTTTATCAAATCCTTTAATTTGTTTACAGCAAATTTTTGAATAACATGAAACTAAACGAATATAAATTAATATATTATTCTTTATATTTTTCGAATTGGACTGCATTTTAATGAATAAGCATTAATATTATGATGTCACATTGCAATATTAGTTGCTTTAAATTAAATGATTATTATTTGTTCAATATTATTTAATAAGAGCTGCGTAGTTAAAATGTTAATAACAAAATTCTCGTGAAAGGATATTTAAACTGGATCTGATTTGCACGTGAAAGTGTCTTTATAAACTGGATTTTGATTTTGATTTTCGAAATTAAAATAGTCAGTCTTATACCGGTTTGAGTTCTCAGTGCTAAGTTAAATATAGAGAATGTTATTTCATATTTTATTTATGCCATTATTTTTTAATGGGAAACAGCTATTATTTTAATAAAACAACAATAACTCGTTTTCTGTTAATTTAATTATAAAATAGCGCCATATTGTGAAATAATTATTATTTTTATATTATTTGTATGTGTAGATTTCTGTGCTATTGTATATACATTAGATGCAATAGTAAAAAACTGTTTAAGGTTTTAACAGAGATTCACAAAATATTTAATATAATTTTTTTTACAAAACATAATACATTGAGATTTTATTGTTTATATTATAATGTTTGATTCTCTTTGAAACTTGATTACAAAGTAAACGTCTTTATTTTCACAGTCTTATTTGTTACTGCTGCTTTTCATCCATATTAATAAAACTTCTAATCTTAGCAATTTCTAAAACAAATCTTTTACACGACAGTTATTTATTTGCTTATCAACCAAGTGTCTGAACACTTAAGAATTGTCTAGACTTAAATAAGAAAGCAATTATCGTTGATTTATGCCAAACTAAGAATTTGTTTTAGGAAGAGTTTTTCAACTGTTTTATTTATAGCAACCATAAAAAAGTTAATTGTAGGGTACTATTTTTTACTAAATATATTGTAAGTTTATTTAATTGTATATAATATAAATACAATATAAAAATAGTTTCAGTGAAGGCTTTGAGAATTGATGTAAGTATAGTACTTAATTAATTTTAACTAATTACAATAAGGACACCAAATTGAAAAATGATAAAAAACATATAAATATCTAAACGAGTGTCTTAATAGTCCGCCATTTACAGCAATTAGAATAAATTTATAATAAAATAATAATTCTCATATGTATTAGCTTCTTATATGTAGTAGCAGTATAAAAATAAAAATGAATAATATCATACAAAATTGAAATTTAATGGCTCGTGGTTAAATACAAATTTCTAATTCTATTTCTTTTTATATGGATTGCTGAAGAATTTAAGGCAAATAATAGTTTTGGTTTGAAAATAAAACCATTTATAGAAAAATGGGAAGCATATTGGTGGTTATTTTCTTAGAAAATTATTTAATCTAGCGACCGTTTAGTTCTTTCGCTTTCTAGATTCAAGGAAAAAAGGTATTTCTATTTAATAAAGAATTCCTGTAAAGTAATATGCCAATTATATTAGTAAATTTTTCCTAATTATTGAGCTACATTACATACACTTGTTATTTATTATATAGGTGTAAAAATATAACTATTTAATAATTTACATAGGATTTAAATTATTAAAGTATTACAATAGTTAGATAGTTTAAAATCGTTCAGTACTTTGAAGAATTATGTATGATATCATACATACGCTATTGTATTATGCATAACATTTATATGGCGAAGACGAAAAATATAATGGGCATAAAATTTCTAGAAACTTAACGCTTCTGCCAAGCCAAAATTTATATATCAGCCAAATGACGTCATTCAGCTCGTTAAGAAACAATTATAGGTTATTCTCTCTGTCGGATGTCTTCCGTAACAACGTTTAAAACAAGGGTTTCATTGAAATGCTGTTGGCGTTGACAGCACTGAGAGCACTTTAGAAGTGTGTAAAGTTAATTTATTAGAGGCGTATGTAGAAAATGCTTTTGACATATCAGAGGACCCTTACAATTACGTATATAACATGATTTGTCTTGCTCTTAAGGACAGTAAATTTTATATGGGACTAGGATATGTAGAGTTGAATTTAAATTTAATATTCTGAAGTCGGTGTTCGCTTTGTAGTCCCGAATGGCTCTCAGAACGATCAAGTGTGTGGTGTGAAATTCAGCGAAGTGAATTATTCTGTTAAGCATAGCTTAAAAGCTTTTTTATTCAATAAGAAAAAAAAAAAAGTTTGTTCATTTATCTTAACTAGTTCCGACCGTCAGATATACTCTCGTAAGTTTTTCGTAATCGAGATGAAATCAAAATATATCAAAAAGATATTTATTTTTGAAAAATAAATATTTAAAAAAGTATTTGTATGAATAAACCTTATTGTAAAATTATTGTTTGGAGCAAGAGTTGATACTGTTTTTGATCTAAATGCAATTAGATTAAGTTTACTTGTTCTATAATCGTCAGATATATTTTCATTTATAATAATAAACTAGGAGTAGACTATATGGTTCTAAAAACAATATTTCTCGTTCAAGGTAATGCTTGAGATCCCATGAGGATTTATATTTTATATTTTGCGTTACAATATTACAATCTTTATATTAGACGCAATAAATTTCTTTTAAAAGTCAATATACGTGTCTATAAATATTTTTTTTTATATCCAATAACTTCTAATATATGAATATTAAATGCTTTGTTCTCTTTAATAAAAAAACAAAAAACATAAAATTGTTAAGCTAATTCTGTTTTCTAGCTATAATCGTAAAACACGAGATGAGACAGATATCACTGAGATGTGTTTTACGCATTCCATTTCTTAATGACTCCGAATCCTTATAACTCCTGCGAGCAACGTCTATAAATTTTGCAATTAATCGCAATATTAGCTTAAGTTTGAGGAGATTACACGTTTAATGCCACCGGAGTTGGAAACTCGTCTGTATAGTCATCCAAATTATTTTAAATAACATTTGTTTTGATTTTTTTTTATTAAAATATTGGAAGTAGTTTTGGTTGTGTTTCTCTTTTTCGGTACTTTTCTATAAATATCCTCTTATTGCAATTTTATTTAAGATTTGATTAAATTAATCATATCTGATTATTTGAATGGTTTTACGCAAAAAAAAAAATTGTTTTCCAAATAGGTCCATAAAAATATTTTAAAGAATATTATTTGTAACTTAAAACCAGAATATGTATGTTTAGTTTAGTATAGAATAATAAAAATATCTCAATATATGTATCCATCCTAATTATAATATATGTAGTATGTCTATAATAAGTAAATTAAAATTGATTTTGGACGAGCTTGGATCGAGTATAAATTAAATGGTTAGGGAAAAAATATATAAATATTAGCTGCAAATTAAAGTATTATTATTCAAAGACGTTTGTATGTGGCAGTTAGTCGTTTTTCTGGTTTTATTTTAAAAAAAGGTTCTCAAAAAACATAAATATTTTATAACCTTATGACGAAATGATTATTGAGAAACAAAAAATCTATTATAATTAAAAATGTAATCATGTTTCATTGTTATTTATAAATGTAATACTTTTTTTTTTAACAAAAATCTTTTATACTAGTTCGTTTAACCCGACGGGTGGATTAACATTTGTAAGTCAAATTAAATATCATAGGTATTTTCACTTTTATTAAAAAAGAATCTACGTACATTTTGCTACTAAGTTGTGGCGAATTCTTGGCAAGTAAGTAAACTTTAAATATTCAGGCAAAGCCGCACTATAAGTGAAGTATCGGAATATTGAAATGAGCAAATTTATATTAATTTAATGCGACACTTATACTTCAATGTAAATGATATCATCAAAGGCTTTCGTAGAAAAAAAAGCGGTTAAATATAATGAGAACATAATATATATGTATATATTGTACATATGAATTTATTTATTTATAGAAGCCAAGG